ATGCAGCATGCTTTATCGTCACTCCCATGCTCTCCAAGAAAACTTCCCAGGGGGTCACCCATCATAGAATTGCTCCAAGCCAAGCACGCTTAACTGTAGAGTTTCTAACGATGGACTTCCAAAAAAAAAGGTGCACCTTATTAGTATGAGTAGTACCTATCAAATCTTTTAAGCTTTCCTGGTCTGGGTATTACATACATGATCTGAAATTCAACTGGAAAATTGTTGTTGGTAGCATAATTGGATTTTTCGGATCATCTTTTGGAAGTGTTGGTCGTGTTGGCGGTGGTGGGATATTTGTTCCCATGCTTACTCTGATTATTGGATTTGATCCGAAATCAGCAACTTTTGTCTCAAAATGTGAGTTATAAACCATATTGATATAACATGGACAGATTAAACATAATTTCGTTTCTATACAGCATGATTGGATATTCCAAGTTCTTTGTTCGTTGAATTAATTCAAATCCAAGAATCTATGCATACAGTCTTAGACGGTCTCATAGCTGACGTTCTTAGTCTCCTTCTAATCCTGGAAGAAGAAACTATGCATATAAAATTAATTTAACTTTGAAACTATGCATATAAAATTAATTTAACGGCCCTGAAGTTCTTGATTTGTAAATACTTTCAGCTCCGGAAGATCGCCTACTTATAAGTCTCCTTTAAATTATAATGGCTAAAGATGAACTGACCAATTCCTAGGAAAGGTTCAAATTCGGTTATTTGGAGTCAATAAATGCCATTTCTAATTTGACAGGTATGATCATGGGAACTGCAGTCTCGACTGTTTACTACAATCTTAAGCTCAGGCATCCAACTATTGACATTCCAAATATCGACTATGACTTGGCTGTTCTCATCCAACCTATGCTTATGCTAGGCATTAGCATAGGAGTTGCTTTCAATGTGATATTTGCCGATTGGATGGTCACTGTTCTGTTAATTGTTCTCTGTATAGCTAATTGATGTGTTACAATTCTTTTATTATGTATCCTGCTCCAGTGCCTATTTTTTATATCACACGACACTCACATCAACTAAGGCCTTTTTTAGATGAGTTGAAACATGGAAACAAGAAACTATCGTGAAAAAGGTAATCATTTCAACCTTTTTATTGTTTGGTGGCATTTGGTGTCTTATGTTATTCACATTTGTAGCTTGAATCTCATAGATGAGGATTCAAATTAATTAAGTCATGGCAAAATCCAAGTGCAATGTAAATTTATATTCTTTGGATCCTCCTGTCCTTCTTGGTATAGCTCGTCGTTCTCTTTCGTATTAAATGCCAATTGTGATATTTCTGCAGGAGGCTGCAAAGCGATTGGAGGCAGATGGTGAGTTCATTTAGCTTTCTTCAATGAGTCGACACATGTTTGGTAAAGTGAATTAGAAAGCACCTTTTCTTTTTCTTTCGTTCGTTGTAGTATCAAGTACATACCAAACATGCACTGAAGGATCACCTTTTCTTTTTCCTTTTTCCTATTTAGCCCATAATTTCCCTGCTAAGAATAAAAGGATGCATTTTTCCTGTTCCGCCAGGCAATGGTACAGAAGCAGAGTATAAGCTTCTTCCTGGAGGCCCTAGCAATAGCACGGAAAATGAGGCCAAAGTCTTGGCAAAACCCAGGGTGTGATATATTTCCATTCTAGTTTGAATTTCCAAAACTCCCACTCTCAAATATGAAACAACTCACAATCTCAGGTCAGTATCCTCGAGGATGTTCGTTGGAAGGAACTTGGGCTTCTTATCTTTGTTTGGATGGCATTTCTTGCATTGCAGATCATCAAGGTTCTCACTTTTTCTCTTTCATTTCAAATATTCTTTTTACTTTCAAGAACCTCCACTTAGATTTCTTAACTAGTCGGAATCTCTAAAACTCACTCACTCATCATCAAATTGGAACAGAACTATACAGCTACATGTTCAGCAATATACTGGGCAGTGAACTTGCTGCAGGTATGTGTACATAGTTATGTGCATATTTGGGAAACTTGTAGCCTATTCGGTGATATGTTAAAGCTCTTTTTATACTTAATTCTTGAGGATTTAAAATTACCATTCTCTGCTCTGCAGATCCCTGTCTCTCTTGGTGTATCTGGTTATGAATCAATTTGCCTGTACAAGGGATGGAGAAAAATTGCATCTACAGGAGATGGAGGGTCCAACTTGAAAGTTCACCAATTGATAACCTACTTCTTGTTAGGCGTACTGGCTGGTATGATAGGGGGTCTACTAGGTGTGGGAGGTGGATCTATCATGTGTCTGCTATTTTTGGAGTTTGGTGTTCCACCTCAAGTGAGCTCGAGATCTTTCTAGAATGATGTTGAGCAGACTCCTTTTTCTAGAAAAAGTCGAGCTGACCCCAAAATTATTCAAAACAAGGCATAGTCAGTGTGGTAGTCAATATTTTAGGTGTATGTACGTGCATAGAGGTTTCACTTAACCTGTTGTTCAAACAATCATACGAAGACTTTGGAATGTTTTTCCCTTCATCATTAAATATAAGAACATTTTCTCATTTTCTTGTATGTTAAACGTGAGAAGTGGAGAAGATGGCTGATATTTTTTCTTCCGTTCGGGTTTCAAGTGCAACATCCACCTTTGTTATGATGTTTTCCTCTTCAATGTCTGTGGTTGAATATTACCTTTCAAAACGTTTTCCAGTTCCATATGGTAAGTGCCTGTCCAATTAAGAGTGCAAGTCTTGTGAATTGAGCGGTATCCAATAGTAGTTTAAGTTCCTATTTAGTACTACGTACCAAACATGCACCGAATGTAAGTGAACTGGTATTGGTTCTTACATCACAGTTATTTCTTATTTCTTTTTAGATTTGTATTGAATTAATAATTTCTACATTTCTGTGTTCAGCTCTTTACCTGGTTGCTGTTGCCACTGTTCCTGCGTTTATTGGCCAACACGTCTTGAGGAAGGTGATTATTATGGTGGGACGGGCATCAATAATCATCTTTGTTCTAGCATTCGTAATCTTTGTGAGTGCCATCTCTCTAGGTGAGCAGCTTCATTCAGTTAAAATCATGAATTTCTCCGGAGTTCTTTTTTCAATTATTTAAACTCGAAGCAACGGTAAATTTCAAACATGCTTTTAGTACACGTTTACATGCTTGTATAATCGTATATGTCATACTTATTTTTTTGTTGAACAGGTGGTGTTGGCATTTCAAACATGATTGGAAAGATTGAGAGGCATGAATATATGGGATTTGAAAACCTCTGCAAGTATGAAGTTTAACACACTGCTTCTAATCTTTACCTTTATATTGTCCCATCCTCGTTCCCATTCTCGGCCCCGTCCCCCAAGCGCATGCGTGGGCGCGAGAGTACGTGCTCCTGTAGATTAGTTGCAAGATCAGTTTTAAGTTTAACAATGCATTTTTTTTTACTGTCTTTAAGCTCTTTGCTCTGTACAGTTTATAATGAAAGAATATCTTCAATAGACATTGCAAAGAAATTTTCATGGTCTGGCTTCTACTTTTATTATTGTCTGAAATTTTGAGGTAGCTGCTTAATTAAAATTTAATTGATAAATTGTTTATAAGACAATTTTAATTGCAAAATCCAATTAAATATGTCATATAAAAAATATTATACTTCGTTCCATTTTTCTAATACAAAATATTTATTATTTAGTATGGTTATAATACAAGTAAACCTAAACTTTTAATGATATTCTTTTAACAAATATATTTTAATCAAGTTCAAATCACGCAAAATGACTGTTAAATATTTTGTTTGCTTATAATACAAGTAAACCTAAACTTTTAATGATAATCTATTTTCTCTTAACAAATATATTTTAATCAAGTTCAAATCACGCAAAATCACTGTTTGGCTATGATGTCAATCCAGCTTAACTGGAAAAGGGCTTTGGTCCAATTGCTATATCGATGGTCGGATAAAATCAAAGTGATGAAGCTCAAAACTCGGATCCATATAAATTGACTAAAATTCGCATTTCTAAAGTGCAACTTTAGTTGCCTCTTAAACTTGATGAGTTGTTAGTGTGGGATAAAAATATTGGAGAATC